GCGTGCTTGCCAGTCCGGTAAACAAGGTACAAGCTAAACACCCACACATACAAAGAGGACCTGTGCTCATTGATGCAAGACATCGCGAGCCAGGGTCAAAAGTTATTGGAGCGCTTTGTGCGACTCAACTCGAGACAAACAAGCGCGCTGTGCGGGTTCAGCGTGCAGACATTGCCTTTTAGGGGCGAAGCTCCTTAGGGGCTAGCCATGTCCGTATGTCCGTCCGATGTCCGGCGTCGGGTGCTCGTGATCACGAGCACGTGAGCACGTCCTCCCGTGCTCGTGTAGGGCAAAAAAAAAAAAAAGCAAAGACAACCACATCTCCACGTGGTGAATGATGTTGATAGGAGCGAAGCTCTGGTGGTGCTTGTCTGCGTAGACGGTGAGCCGCAGCATGCCGAGCCTTTCGTTCGTTTTCATCCATGTCAGAAAGAGAATGTCTGGTATGGAACGTGGTTATATACGCATGTGAGCATTTGACCGCAGCGTGACATGGATGAAAACGAACGAAAGGCTCGGCATGCTGCGGCTCAGCGTCTACGCAGACAAGCACCACCAGAGCTTTGCCCCAATATAGAGCTTTGCCCCAATGAGGTTGTCTAGGTTGTCTTAGCACCGTTGACGGAGTACTGCCAACTTGCCCACTGACAAACCAGGACGATGTGCCGCTTTTAGCAGTCACATTATCCGGATATGACGTCACTATAGTCGAGTGGCGCTGCAGGGCGTCGAGGAAAAGCCTTCTGTTCACCACTTGGTCCGGGATAATTGGCTGTTTAGTAGAATCATTCCGGGGAGCGATGGCCGAAAGTGCCATCCGTATCGTCTTCGAGAACGTCACTTAGAACTGCTTATCTATATAAGCCAGAGATGGCGCAAGTGTGCGCCCTCTGCTACAGCTGCAATATTATTCTATACTAAGAGATATTAGTTAGCCTGTGAAAAAAAATATAATCGTGGAAAGTCATCTCCAATAAAATAAGGACAATTCTCATAACAAATTTTCTTTCAGAATAACTCGTTGTGTCTTAATTGCGTTCTTCGCGTACATAGTCAAGCTTCAAAATGTTACTTCATTGTAAAATTATTTTAAACGACTATACACACAAATACAAAGAAATTAGCCATAAAAGGGTCCAATCTACTTCCGGTAAGGCACAATTAAAAATATCAGACCAGCTACTAAACTGCTATCCGAAAAAACTTTGAACTCCTAGGATGAAATGTTGAAATTTCAATATTTTAATGTAGAGCTTACGACTAAACGACTAGAGTGGAGTTGTGCTTCTCATATTTTTAGTTGCTAGGTCTATAAAAATAAGCCCTCAAAGTTCGTTGCTCATTTACAAGGCCACTTAAGTTATGACACTTTCAATTTGTATAAAAATACAATTTTCAAGAAGATATAAAACTATGTGTGGGCACAAATTTGAAAAAATAAGTAAATAGGAGACTGCACATGTCCTTTATTTACTCATTAACAGAATCAGAACACACTTGGTCGTAATAGAAATCCATAAACCTAGAACCCGTAGAGGCATGTCTCAAAAACTATCAAAAACTGTATTTTTTTTTTTAATTACGGGTTACCTTTGCGACGATAGATATCCCAATTTGTTCTAAGGTATTGAAGATGAATGGGCCATTTATTTGCAATTAGAACGAACTGCGTCACTTACGCTCCGGCGCGGCATTTGTAGCGCGAACATGAGCGGAAGTTCAGCCAGCACTGGCATTATTGTTGCGGCCGGGAGAGTGCCTTCAGAGCGCGCGGCACGAGGGCGCTGCGACGGTAGCGCGCTTAACACTAGAGCGCATGTCACCAGAAGAACGCTTGACCTGTTGGGCACGCGACACAAAAGCGCACGACCAGTTGAGCGCGCGACAGAGAACGCACCCCAGTTGAGCGAACATCGCAAAACGTGTGATGTACCCGCGGTTCCACAGACAGAACGAAATTGTGCGAGTCATCGGATCGGAGCATTGGTGATTTTTGATTGACTGGTACCACTCTTTCTAACCAATTGTTTACTGACAACGGAGAGAAAAGGGGGCAGGGGAGTGGTGCATATAGGCACCGGGAATGTCTGCAGTTGGGTGGAGCGGCGAGTGTAAGATTTCCTCACGGTGCTGCGGTGCGCCAACCGGATATGCTATAAATAGTTTCCTTTTTGCTATACTATTTTGTCCAGTCTTGAGAGGCATTTGGGCTCCGATCTGTTTGGTCGCTATTTAGACGTCCCTCACATAATTTTAAATAGTAATGTCACGTCCAAGACCGCAATGAAGAAAGCTCACCGTTTAAAGCGTATCAGTAAACAACTCATCGAAGGGAATCTCAACGCCATTGTATCGCAGGCAGAGCTTTCCAGCCTTTTGACGGTTACAGGAGAACCTCCCATGCAAATTTGTGAAATATATTTGAGAATTTGATTCCGAAATCTTAATTCGTTGAGGCGTCGGGTACGGTGACGACGTCACCTTCTGTTGATAGAACACAACCTCATAGGGACGCTGACAGGGTGCTTAAGCTCGCTAACTTTTTTATTTATATGAGAACCGAACTACCCCAAACACGATTGGCGGCTCGAAATTCGCTTTCTTTCCGCCCGAAAACTGCCGATCGTGAACCGGCGAGTTTGAGTCGCGCCCATTCTCTTCTCCGTTGTTAAAGGGGCACTCAAGTGCTTTTTGGAGAAGCTTGTTTTTGGAAGCATATTGTTTGTTGGGCTTCAGTCAATAAAAATGACCAGTTCTAAATGGCAAGGCGCCCTAGTAAACTCACAGCAATAGAAATACACAGGCACTATATCCTCTTGCGGGGTCCATCCCGTGTCTCCACCACCTCCATAGAATTCGACCAATAGAAATAGCGAACTGCGAAAAGATTGCTAAAGTTATTATTATTGCTCTTTTTAGGCACATGCACATTATATTTTGACAAAAACGTCAAATCTTTGGCTGTAGGTGACGTAATACAGCTATTATTGTTTGAAAAAGAGCGAACTACGTTTTCTCCTCGCCTTGTTACGCGGGAGTGATGTGCCCACGCACATCACTCCCGGGTGTGCTACAGGCCAGCTGTAGCACACCCGGATCGAGGCACAGCCCCTCGAAATCCGGGTGGCTTGTCACGCAGCTCTGCCGGCCCTGCTGCTTGCGAACGGCGGCCGGGTAGTCACGGCAGCAGACACACTCTGCGACGGTTTCCATCGGCACGCAGCAACTGCATTGGCACCTTAAAACAGAAAACCAGCATCAGCTATACATATGAGAGGTATAATTAACAGCTCATCACCTACCAGTTGGTGTTCCCAAGCCGCTGGGTTGCGTCGTCGGTTTCGTCGTCTTCCTCCGGTGTCGACATTGAGCATCGCGATCAGTCGTCCGAGTCCGTGGCGTTCGAGGCATCGGCGTCGCGCGTAGGAGTGGCGTCGTAGGAGATTGAGCTGATATCTGCCGTCCGCCGAAGAATTTCCACCTCCAACGGTGTTAGATTTGGCAGGTCCATCTCCGCACGACGCAAGACCCGAAGTAAAGAAAATGAGTCCCAACGAGAATCCATCAAATACGCGCACATTCAGAAGATCACTCCGCCGGTTCGAAGGATCAATCCGCCGGGAAGCCGTCACTCGTGATTGGATGGCGCACGCCCTTCCCTGCTGCCTTCCCGTCCGACAGCGCCCCTGACGGCGTGCGCCTAGGCGCAGAACAGCGATCTTTGATTGGATTTTTAATAGGAAAATCGGCCGCCCTTGAATGTAATTTTGGGATTTCTAGGATGCTTAAAGCCCGCAGATTGAGTTATGACAATAAATAGACGATCTCAGAATCCACTTGAGTGCCCCTTTAAGTGCCGTTTTCAATGGTTTAGAAACAACTTCCGAAGATAATCAAAGTAGTAGGCCATCGACGGCACACACTCAATACTAAAAATAGACAGAAACTATGACACCTATTTTTTGGTGACTTCTGAAATATGCAAATACATTGATTGAAGACAAAACGCTACAGCCACGTTACTTCCCGTAACTTTCTCCTCCTTCATATTTTTTCTTCCTCCCCAGTCCAGTTTCGGTTTTGAGCAGTGGCGTTTTTCGACTTTATTAGAAATATACGTGACACTGTAGCGAAATATAGATTGGGTAGTCTTCTGACACAATATTAAATCGCCTGGCAAAACATTAAAAAAAATTAAAAGCAGTGTCAGTGTTTCTCTGAGGCAATGCCCGTTCTGAATATCTCAGAAAAGAGTCTACAAAGAAAAAAGACTTGCGGTCGCTTTGTCCGTTGTTTGCATTCTACAGAACCGTAGCTTCTCCACCTTTGTTCTTAGAAAGTAGTCAAATCATCTAGGGCCGAACGAGAGTGCTTTGATTTAGAAATATACGAATACCAACAATATCAGAAATATATGAATATCGAAGAAAAAACCGCCGCACAAACAGAAATAAAAGTTCGAACATAAAAGTTTAAGATATGAATAGACACCGAACTTCTACACGAGGATAGTGCCGCAGGTAATAAATTTAAAGGATTGATTTTAGGATTCGCAGGTCAGATTTCTTATTGCTGAATGCCGCGGCTTAAATCCCCGCCAATTTCACATAAAACACGCGATGCCCAACAGCTTGTCGGTGGGGTCGGGCCACTTGCGCTGGACTGGTTGTAAGCACTCGTGACGGGCGCTAATAGAAAGTTTTCGTAGATCGTTTTTGCCGTCCCGCAACGCTCTCAGCAACCTGCTATGACACCAGGAACTCTACAGCTAAGGCCATCGGCGCGCAAGCGCAGTAGTGTCTTTTTCGTTGCGGAGGGCTTAGCGGAGAGGTAAACGCGGTCTACTAAAACTCCGTAAGGCCGCTGCGCTCTCCATTCGCGCACTCTAACGTCGTGGGGCTCTACTGTCGGCGCTCTTGTGTCGTGCGCTCTAGTGTGGTACAGCCGTTGCGGCCATGGGACCGCAGCCTTAATCTAACGAAAGTATTACATCTTTGCAGCATACTGATCCTACCTGGTGGACGCATCAAGGTGATAGACTTCGACACAACCAAAGTCTGCAATGGGCACTGTAAGCCGGGGAAGATTGGATAAATATTTTAGATTAAAAAGCAAATAGTCCGAAGAGCGTTACCTATAGAACCTTTCTCAGCGTGAGAAAACCAATTACAGTTACCAAGCACCCTTTGCGTGGCTACTTCCGGAGGACTCCCTTCGAGTTCCACGACGGAGAATCCGCCGGCACCATTCCTTACATGGCCCCCGAAATACTCAAACGGAGGCCATACGGTAAGCGCTGTGGCGGATTAATCTTTTTTAATACCCGTGTAGAGCTCTTGAAGAGTATATTGTCAATTAATTAAGTATCTGCATCTGCAGTTGGAGTGTAAATGCATGTGAAGTGATCCTCATGCCTAATGACGCCACTTAGTTTCCCAGCTATCACTGCAGCAGCTGGGATGTTTTCCTCGTGTTGAATTTTGATCAGGAAAAGTTAAAACGTTTACCACTCAGTTCGGCCCGTAGGCCAAGGAATCATACAAAACATGCCAGAAATTGATCATCTCGAGGCGGTGTTAAGTTTTGGAAGCACTGTAGAATCACGTTTAAAAATATCTCCGTACAGAGTTCCCTCGATCCACAGACAGCATATTCATAAAATGAAGAATCTCGCTCCTCCCTCCTCTACTTCTCTCTCGTTTTCCTTCTCTCATTGCATATGCTTCAAAACATAAAGAAATGCAACCATTCTCTTTCTCGCCCTTTGATTTGTGTTTTTACTCTTGTTTTGAGGAATTTCCCCTTGAAACGAACTAGCAACGTTGAATCCTTGTTTAATTGTATTTCTTTATGCAATAGGCGGGTCTCAAAACTTGTCAGTATTTTTAGAATTCACTTTTTCTTTTTCAAAGATCGTTTGTTCTCGGGATTTTGGCAGGCGCGGCGCATGGACACGGCACAAGTGAGAGCGTGCCCTTCGGTTCAAGGAATGCCCCCATCAAACGAGCGCTCCCGAAAAGGAAGCGCGCGTCCCCTATACTAAGATATCCCAAACAGGCATTTCGGAAAATGGTAGAGTCAGTAAAGTAACGCATTGTTGCCGTTGGCCAAAAATGGCAACTGCGATGGTTTAAAACGCGTCTACTAAAATCTAGATGCGGCGCCCTGCTCTAATACAGTAGGCTCAACAGCGGCGGTCATTGAACACACCATTTACTGTGTAGATAACTCGGAGCTACACCATTACACTACTCTTAGCAGCCGTAGAGTTACAATGTAAAAAGCAGAATTGAAAGGGAGTTTTAGAATAGGGGGCCTACACTTTGCACCAAACACGTTGGAGCTTCGCACTGCGCTGTGGCTTACATATATAGTCATACCTAATTTTGTCCCGTATAACGCAGGGCGGTCAGCAGACTGGTGGTCAGTGGGCATCGTGATGTACAAGTTGATGACTGGTCGTGTCCCATTTCGTGGCAAGACGAAACAGATGCTTCGCGAGCGCATCATCACGGCTCCACTCAAGTGGCCCCGTGTCGAAGAGCACAAGCACTCGGCCACCACGCCGGCCAAGGACATGACCTACCGGATGCTCAAGAAAAATCCCGTCGAGCGTCTCGGCTCTGTGAACTACAACGAACTCAAGACGCACCCGTTCTTCGATCGGTTCAACTGGCGGGTGCTGTACACCAATACGGACCTCTGCGACATTCCCAGCATAGCCGAGATTCTCAAAAGCAACGCTGAAAAGGGTGGCAAGGGTGGCGATCCTGAGGACAAGCGTCGCCACCAGAGGATCGAGGAAATGATTGACGTCACAAACGAGACTCAAAAGCCCTTGCTCTGCTACTCATCGTCTAGCTTCAAGAAGCTTATGACAAAGGTGCTAACAGATTATTATAATTTAGATAACACAAAACAAAGTTTGCATCAGTGACAGCAAACTCTTAATAACTCAAACTTTTCATAGTACTTTTAGAAATGTTTGAATTTATTTGGCTAGGGTTGCAATAAGTGAAGTGTTGATTTAACCTATTTATATTGTCGGGGGTATTATATTTGTAGGGCCTATTTCTCCTCTTTCTTTGTATGAAGCTGCTGTCACTCGTTCAACTGAACACATACTTAACTGTGAATACCATACGTAATGTAATTCATCAAAGTTACCAGAAAGGCGCCCTTAGTCTGGGTTTTCAGCAGGACACTTTGCGTAATATTTGAAGTCGCATGTTGACAGATGTGAAAACAACTCTCATTTCTGTTACTCTTCAGGTAAAGCGCAGTAAAACGGCCATTAAAGTGAGTGAAACCTTCATGGAAACAAGCGACATAACGTCCTCTGGGATCAAGTACGAGGCCAATACTCAAGGTGCCCCTTCCTCTAAGGGTGGCACGATGACTGGTGAGCCAAACACATGTTCCGGACGTTCGAGTTTCGTTCAACTGTGCGTTGAATGTTTTTACTTTTTCTGCTGAATTATTGGTACCAGGTTCCGACGGAAAGAATAGTCAAACCTTGGGGCCGGAAAAAATCGAACTGATCGTCACCCGGAAGAAGAAATTTTTTGTCTATGGCAGTTTTGGATTTACTGTTCAGAGAGCCAAAGGCGAAGAAGGCGCCAACTTTATTTATGTGGAGGTGCGTTTTTCATATTCGCTTCCCAGTATGGTTCGCTATATATACTATGTACACCGCTAAGTTGACGAGGCCGTGGAAGCTACATGCCTGTTGAACCTGTCGACCGTCGGTCTTGCATCACGCGATCACGCTCTGCGCACATCCTAGCCTACAAAAAAAACGGGTCGGGTGAAAAGAAAGCTGTTCTATGAGCACACAGGTTCCACCGCCCTATCAGGGTAGAATATCGCAGTGAACAAATAATAGTAGCTGAGAAGCAAACGATAGCCAAGGATGTTAGTAACGGCATGCTAGTGCAGCCTATCTCCGATAGTCTAATTTTGTTACAATGGCGTTGGCATGTGCACATGACCAAAACGTGTTAAAAATAATAAGCTAGTCATTTATTATAATAACACAATTTACCAATGGTGTCAATTTCAGTAAAAGTTTCTTCTATTGTATTATACTCTTTCTACTGCACAAACGACGATTCCTTCACAACAATGATTCTCATCACAGGCTGTCGAAAACCAAAGTCCGGCACAAAGGGCCCAAGTCCTGCCGCTGGACGTGATCTTGGCCGTAAACGGTGTGTCCCTTGCCGACGCCTCGGTGGACAAGGTCAACAAACTCGTCGCCAGCTCGGCAGACAAGATAGTGCTTTCTGTGATGACATCCAGCTCATACCGGGTGCTGACGACTCAAAGGGACGCGTTGAGTTTGGTACGCAACGCCCAGAAGGAGACGGTGGTGCTGTCGAGTGCACCCACGTCGCACGGAGGCAACAGGCCCTGCGGCCTGGGCATTTTGGACGTCAACGTCATGGATGACAAGAACAAACAACGCGTGAGGCTCTTCGTCCTCACGGTACGTAGGCTAGTGTCAGTAGATCATAGTGCGTTTTGCTTATTATAATTGGGAGCATGGTCTGTGTAATCCAATGAGTAAATCACCCTGTTGATGCATATATGGAACTGTAACACTGCATTGGTCGCAATTCGAATAAGCTCGATGGTCTGGGTGCATGCGGAGGTTTCTACAAGCAACATTTAGGCGTAACATATAAAATAGTGTATCAAGGTCTCTTGCCCCTCCCAATAGCAAAATGGTTTGCATGAAGAGGTCAATTCTGTAAAAATATCCGTAATGTCCTGAAGATGAGGCTCAGAATTCAGAAAATATATTTCCCTACGCGCCTCAGTTTTGGAAGCTTACGCATGAGAAGTAAGTAAACTTTTTGGCTCTTGCGTAGCAGCATCTCAATTGCCTGAAAGACCAATGTGTCTCTGTATCTACTGAATAACGGCTATTTTGCGGACAATAATACGCCTTCGTGAGAGAAATCTAAATCTTTGAGCTGACAAAAGAAGTGTCTACCACACCCGAAATATTCGTATTTTTTGATACCACAGTGAGCTCCGAAAAAATAACGGCATGCCTTTTGTATGTGTGTTAAACACAAGTGTTATTTTTCTACCTGTGTTGAGTTAATCGCATACAATTGATAGAAGTGAAAACATTCAACCCAGTAACATTAATTTGTGAGACACATGGGCATGCACTGCCCGACACTGTTAGCACGAACAAGACTTCGGCGCTTATTCGACTCATTAACTCGAAAGGATACTGGCGGGCATTGAAAATTTACCACTTAGGTTAGTATCCCAACTGAGCCCATTTCATCACTACAGCAGTGTTAGTGAGAGACCTTCAGTACTTCAAAAAGAATTATGATTAAAGCCGGCAACGGCTTGTTCGCGTTAAGAGTATCGGAGAGCGTATCAAGCATTTTACTATCACAATATCTGCTCCTTAAAAGCTTAAAATAATTATACTTTATTTTGGCCCGAAGCATAAATTCGTTTGCATTCCTCCGCAACGTCACATAATTCCCCTCAAATACACTCGAAGTCAAGAAAACGCAGAGAAGAGGTAGTACCATGCATGTGTGTCTGGAATAACGATGTCTGATATCGGAAGTTTTGAAATGCAGCTGTTATCTGGCGGGACAAAATTCGATTCTACTCGAAAACTGCGTGATGTGCGAGCAGTTAAAGATTAACTACCTGAACTTACACTCAGGTGAAGCCCTTATCGGATATCAGGCCGTCTTCATTGCAGCATGGTACATGTACCCTTTTGATTACTATGTGCACAAGAGTGCAACCGCGTAGGTGTTTTAGTTTCTTTTTTTTTTTTAGTTACTTACTAACATTACAAAGGAAGCTTCGAGATCTGTTCAAGACATATCCAGTGACAAGTCACACAATGTAGTTTACATGCGGCTTGACTGTGACCATGTTAACAAAACTCTCAATACGAAACAACTTTTATTTTTCTTGTTGCGCCTTAGGTTTGGATGACTCACCTTGAAACACTGAGTTCACTTCTGGATGAATCGTTTCAGCATGCCAACGTGACGTCCAAGAACATGAAAATGGTGTACCCTGGTGACGTGGTGACTCACGTAGACGGCACCAGCCTGGACGTCTTATCCCGAGATCAGGTGCTGCAGCTGCTAAGCACGGCCAAGAAAGAGGTCACGCTAACGGTGGTGCCGCTGTCGCCTATGCGCGTCAAGCGCATAATAATCAGCAAATTTCACGAGACCGCCATGACGGACACCAACGTGGCCAGCAAATCAACAGGAGCCAACATTGAGACCAGCTGAAGACTCTCTGAAGACAACATGATACCTTGTTTATTCGCGCTGATATCATCGAGACTGGGATCTCAACGTATTGTGCGGTGCCTGCGGTGTTTTGATCAATCTTCGCAGTATAGATTAAGCGTCGAGACAGACGCAAACACAAGGATTCAAACACTGATTTACATTATTCTACTTTTTTAGATTGTTTCGATGCCATGCCGCAAGGACAGTATCGAAACGCTGCTTAGCGAGTGGTATTAGATAGTACAAGGTCATGTCGCCATCTTGTAGTGCCGGTGCTAAAGCATGATGGTAGCTGACTAGCCAAGGCCGCGGTTATGGCACTTGAAAAAATAGCAGCTCGGTCGCTTCGCGAAAGTAGCGGTAATTTGCAAGTTTATATCGAGGTCGCTGTGTTCCCCTCGGACACTATCCGTGGTGATCGTGATGGGGGCTATGACATTCCAGATACTTGCCGCCATCTTCAAGAGCTGCAGCTTCGGAGCTTCGGAGTAGAGGAAAGATGGAGCTCTTAAATGTCAACACCGAAGTTCAACCCTAATACGATGTTCGACATCTTTACGTTCTCCAGTCAGGTTAATTAGAGCACGAATAAATATTGAGCTCGTATATACAATTAGTTTACAGGTTCCCCTACTGTGGTTATCTGTGGCCTTTCTTAAAGACACTACTGCCGTTCCGGTTTGTGAGCTCGACGATAAATGATGCCCATCGCCACAGGCCCCTTCGAGTGACAGAGTCACGCCTTGTTAGAAGGCAACAAATTGAATTATAGGCAATTTTATTGTCACCTCTGAAGTCTAAAAACAATGCGTTTCAATTGGCGATGGTATCGCTTCTTTATTATCGTGCGTTTACAGCAACTCTCATAAAAATAACGTGTAGTACTGTAATGCAACTCATTACACGGAGGTGTACACCTTCTTTTTTTTTTTTTTGAAAAGCCTTTTAGACTGCCTGTACACTTCCTTGATTGAAGCCTAAATTATACCTGCATCAAAAAAGCTTTGATATAATTTCTATTTCAGTACATTTAACACAAAACCTATACATTCTAATACAGTGGCCGACCTGCGAAAGAAGCATATGCAGGTAAGTTAGAGCTATATACATATTTCTAAGGGCGCTGCAATCTTGAGAATTGCGCAGAGCCGTTTATACTGAGAGTTTGGCCTTCACAAGGAGATATTGACAGTCTGGCAACCACAGCAGCGTAGTCTTGGCAACACAAAGAAGTAACGCCATTTTGTGTTATTGCGAAATCTGCTGGTTCTAGTGGGCAGCAAGCCAAGCACACTCAGTATATAAACCATGTTCTTCGTACCGCATTACCGGAAACTTTGAAGCATGCTTTTAAGCGCGCGCCCGGGTGATCGATCGGGTGCATCAAATAGCGGCCAGACACTCAAATCGACCGATAAATTCGGTTTCTTAACCTATCGCGCTACGATTTTGAGCAGGTTACCCACAGGTGGTGCATTTTTTCTATAAAATTTGCAAAAAGCGAACTTACTTGAGGAAAAAGTAAAAGGATAAAAAGGCTTAACTCAATGGAAATGCAGCGGAGACACCGCTCTTCAACCAATAGGGCACCGTGTGGTTTGAAGAACGGGGGCTTTGTTCGACTGCGATTCGGGTGCCTCTTTGCTTGGCTAAAATATCGCGTACAATATGCGCCCTTAAAATACATTTAAAATAAATAAATTATGCGTCATACGCTGAATACTGAAAATTGAACCGGCAAGGAGAACTTTTTTTGAAAGGTCTATTGGGCAGGAGATCGAACTTTTCACCGATGTTTGTTCGTAAACGAGCTCGTTGCCGCCCGCTGTCCGCGAACCTCTGCGCGCTTCCGGTTTTCCTTTTTTTTTTTTTCTCTCTCTTTTTGTCTCATATTTTTTTGTTATGTGTACAACGTTCTACAAATTGCGCAGGTTCTTACAAATGTACTACAGGTACTCCTCCGACGGACTTTTCAAACCCACTCGCTGTGTGTTGCTGAAGAACAAATAAATACACTACCGGAGGTCTACTGGGGCACCAAATACTGTGGCGCCCTCGTGGTACCAACTCCTACCGAATGCGGTGGGCGCTTTATCGAGCTTGTTGTCACCACAGCCCGGTGTTTACTAACACAGCATAACAAAGAAATTGAACCTTGCCTAGCACGGTCTCGGCACGAGCGCTACCCTCTGACCAGTGCTTTGGTCGCACGGGGAGCGGCCTTCGAATCGTCATCTTCAATTTTTTTTATCAAAACAACCAAGGAAATTCGGTTTGTTGTCCCCACAGCTGAGGCACACCGCCAGAGGCGTGACTGTTCGATCTCCTCCTCATCAGCCACCGTAAAGGCTGGTTCACACTGCCTGATTTTCTTACGTTACGTTACGCTACGAAATATTGCGTTGAAGTCACTGGGAGAAAACATGATAAGCCACATTCGAGAAACAAATGTTTCGGTAACTTATACGTAACGTAACTTAACCTAAGAAAATGGGGCTATGTTAATGAGCCTTTACAGTGAACTAGAGGAGTTCACGTTACCACTGTACAGTGGGTATGGGGGCACTTGTCTAGAATTGGCTACAGTTGGCTGCACTGCAGCCACAATTGCCCTGCAGCTTCTTGTGATCATCGACCAGATTCTGCAGTTTTGCTTATGTTGATTAAAATTATTTGTGCACCCGACGACGACGAAGTGATAGCCAGACAACCGTAGAGTTTCCGAAAATGTAACACGACAGGTAAAAAGAAGTACTCTGTTCTAATTCACGCACGACGTCCGTTTCTCATGCCCTAGTTACACTAGCGCTCTTAACTGCTAACGATCGTTGACATCTCCGAACTTTCATTGAGCTCAACTCAGTTGTCCAGGGTTACACGGTACATAGGTCTTACAACACGAGTTGAGATGCGCGTCAAGGGACACAGTTTGAAATTGAAACAAAACCAAATCTAAAGTCATCTTAATTTTTTTTTTTTTTTTTTTTTTTACAGCGGAGCTGTTAAGGTTTTTTGACACGCCAAAAAAAAAATATTGTTTTTGCATGCTTTTCGTTGAAAGGGCATATCGGGACATCGCAAAAAAATTGTTTCACTATAGAGTTGCGTAGTTCTTTTGTTTTTTTTAATGAAAAATAGAAATACGAGGCTTAATTCAAACTTCCCGCTAGTGCTCTGTGACGTAACAGTGTACCGAAAGGTGTCGGAGCGGTCAGAAGGGGGCATCACCGGAAGTCATTTGAGTTGTATTCTTCCTCGTGCTTACCACGAGCGCGTGTAATATTCTTTTTATTTTTTTTTTTTATTCTCCGCACCTCCACGAGCGATCCCACCAGACAAGGTTTCTTTTATTTGCTTTTCATCGCTTAGTGTTGCTGTAAAGGCAGAAAAAGAGGAGTCAGTGAATTGACAAGACCTTTTCCTTAACGGCGCCGCCATCTTGAGAATTGCGGCGCCGACGACGCCGTCTAGCGGCTTAGAAAAAGAAATACCGGCTAGTTCTGTCAGCACAGCTATCTGGGTATACAACGGTGTGGGTATGGGGGGAACTTGGCTAGACTTGGCTATGGTGGGCTGCATTAACCTGGTTGGAGCTAGGGCACATTGATACGTTAGATCCATGTTGTTGCAAAAAAAAACTATCTCCAAACTCCGGTCTAAAAACATGCTTTTCGTGCAAGGCTCGTCAAATTATGAGGCGCTGGAGAAATGCAGCATTCTGCGTTATGTCCTTATTTCGAACTCTTTTTGTTCGCCTTCCGCCCATTGAAAAGCATGCGGGAAGGGCCTTAGAACGCAACTGGTATCGCTGCGCCGCAGCGTTCTTCCGCATCAAAAAGTTCGCCTGCTTTTCTCGTCGTCACCATGGCAGCGAACACCGAATGAATAGAAGCACGCACGGTACCGCCGCGTGAAGCTAGCAACAGCTGACGCCATTTTACGAACGCCGTCTGCTAGCCAAAGCCGAACGCGGTGTGTCAGATCAACCGCCTCCGCCGGTGCGCCGCTAGCAAAGACGACGAAGCTGTGACACGCCGACGGCGATCGAGCAAGCAACAACACCGCGGGACGACTGCAACGGCGGCATTTATTCGGATCAAAGGCCGGCTTCGCCGGTGCGCCGCTAGCAAAGACGACGAAGCTGAGGCACGCCGACGGCGAATGGGCGAGCAACAGCACCGCGGGACGACTGCAACGGCGGCATTTATTTTGATCACAGGCGCGAAATAAGCAAGAACAATTTTTATTTGAATCATAACACCCGATATCCAAGTTGGGGACCACATACCTTTGCTGGGTCTTTCCTGTGAACGTTTTACAGAGACACGGGGTGCCGCATTAAAAACACAGCCCCGTTTGCAAAATATGGGGGCCCTGAAAAGGACCGTTTAGACCGCTACCAGAACCTATAACTGACGTAACGAGCACTTGACGAGCGGTTGGCGCATAAGTCGTCTTTATGCATGCAGGCGGGTGACGGGCTCAGCGCAGCGGATCCCTCGAAGTCACCGGGGCCGTCAGAATCCTCGCCCTGTCTGCGTCGGGGCTCTAGATTTTGGCGGCCGCGGCGACGAACGACTGGAATCTATCAGTGTTTCCGCGCGCCTTGTCTCTCCTCCAAAACATGAACTTTGCAAGGTGACCAGTGAAATGGTGGCTCTCGCGCCGTCCAGATGGAAGAGAGTTTTTGACGTGGGCCCAGGTGCAATCCACCGTATCGGTGTGCGCACCAGTGTTCGCGTCGACAAAGTTAAGCTTATGGTTGACGGTGAGGTGCGTGAAGCGAGCGTCATCTGCAAGCTTGCGATAGCCAGCCCAACAATCAGTGATTATTCTTGTTTCAGGGCGGACCCACTCGGCTATTAGCCCTTGCAGGGTTTTAGCGTCACGGGTCTCCACGGGAACAAGAAAGCAGCACCCGCTGCAACACGCCTCACCGCCGAAAACCCACCTGGCCAGGCCTTAAATACCCGCGAGGGTATTTAAGCGAAGCGAAGGCTGCAAGCGCGAGCTCATAGCATTTGCAGCTGCCCTTAATGCGCGAGAGCATGCGCCGACGAGATGTGCCCTGAGCAAGGAGCTCGCGCTTGTAGCCTTTCCTGCGGTACATCATAAGGTGAAGCAGAGTATAGAAGGTGCTGTGTGAGGGACTCCCGGTATTTCAGCAACTGAAGGAGAGATCACACTGCATGCATTTCCGAGAGACAAACATGAGATGGACCAGTGGCTGACTGCGGTTCCCGCAGGACAGCTATTAGAATCAGTGGGTAGGCGATGGATATGATCTATGCACTTTAGTGATGAAGATTACAACCCTAGGTGAAGTTTACTAAAACTCACAGGTCTCGATGTGAGACTTCAACTGCAGGTCTGTAAGTTTCCTGCTCATCTCCCTGCAGCAGCGGCACTCAAGAGGCTTGAATTCAGGCATCACGACGCATCGGCTGCATGTTCACCTAGTAAACAAGTTCTGCTCATTTT